TGTGGCCCGGAGCAAAAAAAGAGAAACAACTATGTGGCAGTTACTTTTCTTTCTGATCGGATTCGTATTTTGTTCTCATCGTAAGTATGACATGGGATGCGATCAGTATTTTCCTTGTACAGGGATCCGTTTCATACGAACTGATGTATATAACGATGGTTTTCTGAACTCTAAATGTATTGAATACTGCAGCCATATCTTCCATTTTTATTTTTTTTATGTATTAATGTCTTAATACTTTATACAAATTATCGTAGTAAAATTTTACATGTTTACATTTTTGCCCCCAAGGCCCTAGTGACGCCAACAAATAATACTAATAGTTATTATTACTTAACAGTGATTAAAGTAAGGACCTTATGTTCTTATTTCAATTTTATCTGAACAAAAATACGTAACCATGGAAAACATAACAAAATAAGTCTTGTTTTTTTATGTATACCTGTTGGTGTTCCTTCAAAACCGACGAAACACATGGCTATAAACCCTACACTTATATTCAATATAATACACCTTAAAGGGGCGGCCGATCATCTTCCAAAGTGGGGGGGGGGCACCAAGAAAAAAGGGCACTTTCTGGAAAAAAGGGCACCTACAAAGGGAAATCTCACAACGAAAATATACCATTTTTTAGACATTGGAATATACCCCTACATTGTGATTACAATTATCAGGGATGATTCATTTTGTTTCACTTTATACACCATACAAGATAATGCTTAAGCATCATGATTTGCAGTTAGGTTCGATTCTCTAAAAACTTGATTGCGAGCGAGCGAAGCGAGCGAGGAAAAAATTCAGATGTGTGAGCTCGCAGTGCGAAAAATTATATCTTTTAAAGAGGAAAAACCCAATCCTAATGGGGTTGTAAGCACATTCTCATGACGGAAGACTGAACAGACCTTTAATAAGTAACATAAGTATATCATCTATAGATGCGTGCGAGCGTAGCAAGCGATCTTTGGGGGAAATTGCTCTTAGTCGCTTTAAATTAGCTAGGGCGCGTTTAATGATGAGAGAAAAGGGGGACACTTATCAGGAATGAAAAGGAGCATGTGCCAAAGTACAAAGAGTAATTAGTGAAAATAGGGAACTTCTTACACCATCAAAAAGAGGCACTCACCAAGGATGAAAAAATGTCAGTGAAGAGATTAGGAAATGGGCATTTGTCGAAGGAAAAGCGGCCTCCATCAGATTTTGATAGGGGCAATTGTAAGAGGAGAAAAGGGGCTTTCATGAAAAGGGAATATAGGTCCCTTATTAGAAAGGAAAAAGGCACGCATCATTGTTGAAAAGGAAAATATCAGAGGTGAGAAGAGGCACTTATCACACTTGAAAAGGGGAAATGACCAGATATGAAAAGGGGCACTTATGTGAATGAAAAGGGGGCACTTGTAAGGAAGGATAATTTGCATTAGTTGAAAGAAATTGGGTACTGATCAGATTTTTAAAGGGCATTTATCGGAGGTGAGCGGGGCACTTATCTGAAGTGAAAAATTTCTCGTATTTCTCGTACCTGAAAAGGGTCATTTACCAGAAAAGAGGCACTTATGAGAAGGGGAAGGGACTCTTTTTAATGGGTCATTTATCATTAGGAAATGAGGTACTTATTAGAAAGGAAAAGGGCACATGTGGAAATATAAGGTGCGCTTATCCGAGTTAAATGGGGTTAGTTATTTAAAGGGGAAGGGGCACTTCTTACAAAGGGAGAGGGACACTTGTCAAAGTAAAAGAGGCACCTCTCAGAATTAAATAGGACAATTATCAGAGGTGAAGGGGGCACTTATCAAAAGTGAAAAGAGGCACTTCTCGTACCTAACTAGGGGCACTTACTAGAGATTAAAACGGGCACTTATGAGAATGGAAAATTGACACTTATTGCAAAGGAAAATGGGAACTTCTCAAAGGAAAAGAGGTACGTGTCCAAGTAAAAGGGGCACTTCTCAGAGTTCAAAAAGGGAAGGGCACTTTTATAAATTAATAGGAACACTTGTCTGAGTAAAAGGGGCACTATTTCTATGTAAAAAGGGGCATTTTTCCTTTGTAAAAAGGGGCACTTTTCGTGGGCTTGAAAAAGTGGGGGGGCACTATGCCCCCCCCCCCCTGCCCCCCGGGAGGGCCGCCTCTGACACCTTTTTATACAGGGTAAACGAACATTGATGGTTATTCAGACGAGGTATTGCTTCTGTTTATTACAAAGCATTACAGTGTTTGAACTATACTTTGATGATGTAAACATTTGCTTAAAATTGAAAGTTGAAAATGAAGTATTAAAACTAGCAGTACAAATGTTAGTGTTAGGCTTGTAATATATGATATGTTTGTATTAAAGGTAAAACCGATGTGGAAACAATCGCTGGGGTGGACGTGAACTTGGAGTGCCTCGGAACCAGCACAACCGACCAAAACGTGACAATAACCTGGGAGAAAAGTGATGGCACGATACTATTCGAATGCAGCAGACTTAATACTCCCTGTGATACAAGTACTACAATACACACATTGGGAAGAGACGATACGTTTATCAGCAGCACCTTGGCAATTAGGAACGTTTCGTTGGTTCATGAAGATGAATATATTATCATTATGGTTTCCCCAAGCAACAGAGAGATTTGTAAAATCAACCTGACAGTAAATGGTACGTATTAAAATTTTCCCCCACATTAACAAATACAGCAACCAGGTTGTGTTTGCTATTAAACCACCATCTGTTTTTTAAAATAAGTATCAGAGCAACAAATTAAAATAAAAGAAAGGATTGATGTTATAACAACATGTGATTATTCGTGGGAATACTGAACAAATGTAAAGATGTTTAAGATCCTAGACTAAACAAAAAAGCTAATGCATGGTATTTTGTAAAAATAATAATATGACAAATAAAACAAATAATTCATATTATTTATGCGGCAGGGGGAGAGGAGGGGTTACATTTCACATATTCATTAATTTTTCTATTTTCGGTGATCAAATAACATTCTAAGTAAACAAAATATTCACTATAAACTAAACGATTCTCTGAATAATCAGTTTGATTTAAATGGCATTGTAATAGGGGCTCTATTCATTCTTTTGAATTAATTTCAAGTTCCACCGAAGGGGTTGATCGTGATCGAAAAGGCCGACGATTCTATTCTACATAATCAAGCATCATTCACGGTTGCAGAAGGGGAAAACAAGACATTGGTTTGCAAAACCAATGCATCGGTGAAACCAGCCATCAATTTGAAGTGGGTGTATCCAAAAGAGTTATATGCTTATGTTGATTCTCAAAAATATCTTAATGATGAACGAGACGAACGTCTTTTTGTGCCTACGCGGACGATACACTTTAACCCAACATATGCAGATGACGAATACATTGTGCTGATCTGCATGGTGGCTAGCAACTTATCTTTTGATCAAATTCAGACATCGGTCCTTATCAAAAATGAAGGTGAGCATTACCGTAATTCTCGCTATCTACGGAACAATACAAACAGGTAAGTAATGAGCACAAACGTTTTTTTTTTTTTTTTTTTTTTTTTTTGGGGGGGGGGGGGGGGGGAGGCTGACAAAAAAAAATCCTCATCACACCCCACTTTTGCAGGCAGGCCCCGCTGAACGTTTTTCAAAATGGGGCTAGGGGCAAAGCCCCGGCGGGGATCAATGCGCGGAGTCCCCGAAACTCAAGGGCCCCATATGGAAAACTTACGCGCATCTGCTCTGCGCCTCGTCGCTTATCCTGTTAAGCACGGGGAACGTACACCAAGAAAGCCATGTTTTGATATAATTGCTGGTATTACGGGAAAATGGAATTTAAAAAAAAAAATCTTCGGACGGTTTCTTATAATTTGAAATGTCGTCTTAAAAATGATACTAAATTTGGGATTATTCTTTCAGGGGAAACGGTTGCACTTTTCCCCTAAAAGTTTTGACTTTTTCAGCCTGCCTATGGAGATTGCACTGTTTTTCCCCTTTTTTGTCGGGTTTCGCTCAGTCAACCAGTCGGCAAATCTTACACGAGTGACGTATAAAAAATCTTCGGACGGATTCAAAAACCTTGACATCCCACCTTTACGTTGGTATAACGATTGTTTTCATTTGTGGAGGGGAAACGGTGGCAATTTTCCAACAAATAAAAGGTAGCTTTTCATAGTAAACCAAGGTGACTGGGATAGTGTAGCGCTATAGCTACTCACAACGAGTGCGCCCGTACCGTACAAACAATGCACAGTTATAGCTTCCGTGCAATCGCTGTAGAGGTCAGCGTGTGTATTTAACGCAGTGCGTACAGAGTGTGTGCGTTGCGCTCAAAATCTCGGAGACCGCATTACGCGCATCATGTCTATACATGCGCACCCGAATGGGTCATTGCACTCCAACTAGAGGGAAGTCAGTATAATCATTGGCAAAGGGAATGAGTTCAATTTCGTCTACGGTGTAATGGCAAGCCTCTGCTGGTGTAGTCTACCGTAATTTTGCATTTATTTAACTATAGGTGAGTTTCATTTCTAATTCTAGTTTGTTAGTGTTAGTAAGTAGTCAACGAGAGCAAGCGCTCGCACCCCTGCTTTGTCGCATTGAACTAGTCCGATCAGTGTACTTTCACGCAAGAGTGCACTTGAGCGCGCTCTCTTCGTTAAAGCGGTTGTTTAGTGCTGTATTCTTTTATGCGCGTTTAGGGCTAAAAGTTTTCCATATGAATTCACAAAGGAGGTTTAGATTTAACCCAGGCTAAATCGCGTGATAATACGTGATACCCCCAAGCTTTAGACCATGGGTCATTATTTTGGTATTCACAAAGGAAGTTTAGATTTAACCCAGGCTAAATCGCGTCATATTTTATTACGTCATATTTTTAGCCTGCTCAGAAGGGTAATTTAAAACAGCGGACTAAATCTAACCCACGGTTTAACGCGTCATATGACGTCATACCAGCGAGCTTTGGCTTTTTAGCGCAGACGATCGTACACATTTTGTTGACAAATTTGTGGTGAAACAAAGTGAATAGACCTTTACAGAGTTGCTGTTTTTTCAACTTTGATAGCCTACATTGTAAGTATTTTTAGTTATTCACAACATATTTGTACCATATTCTCAGTTCTGCTACAATGGAAGCCCAATTGAACATGATTTAGACCTATGTGCGTAAAAAGTGCACGAATAATAATGTTCATCGTAAGTTGCACAGACTTTGCGAACATTGTCGCAGAACCTAACGCAGCTCGGACCCATGCGTGTGTATTTGTGTTGTGTTGTTTATGTTATCCTGCGAGGCAAGGCAATTTCGCAATAACTGCGATTGTGCCAGCTAACAATACGAAATTAGTTATAACATCACACAATTGTGTGATTCGGGAAGAAAAATATGTTAATCATGACATTTGAGACATTCCTGGCCTCGGGGGGGGGGAGGGGGTAGCGACAGTTCCATTTGTATTTTCTGCTCTGCTGATGCTGCTTCTCATCTGACTAACCGAGGAGAACGAAAAATGCCGAAATGAAAATGAAAATTCTTCCACGCTGATGGATTTTACTAGTCTAGTCTAGGCCTACTATTTACAGAGGCCTGGTCTAGACCTAGATCTAGACTACTGACACTCAGTACTGACTGAATAAGACTTGAGCTTGAGCTCGAAGTCGGTGGCAGTGAGACACGCAAACACGACATGGGCCTAGGCTAGATGATAGATCTAGGCCTAGATCTATCTAGATCTAAGTTAGTCCTCAGTCTCAAGAAATTAGTCAAAGCACGCCAAACCATGGCATGAATTTATTAAAAGTATTTTGTAAATTATTGTAAAAGATGCAGATCTAGATCTAGAGGTCTAGAATCTAGACCTAGATCTAGATCTAGATCTAGTCTAGAGTCTATTCTAGAATCTAGATTTAGAAATTGAAATGGAATAAAATATTTTTCAAAATAGACCTAGACCTAGATCTAGTCTAGGTCTAGTCTAGTACTCTAGACTTTCTAGATCTAGAACTAGTAGACCTAGGCCGTAGGGTCTACCGGTATAGACTTCAGGCTCTAGATCTATGTGGTCTAGACCTTTCTAAACCTACTAATTGGTTGGTTGCACCTGTACGGTTGCCCCCAAAACAGCTCTCTACAAGTATAAAGATTTAGTGGATATTTGAGTTTGTCTCGCTTATCGGTTACTGTCAGCTTGGTAACAACATATTTTACTATTTAAACGTTACAACTGCATAATAACATGTATTATTTCAAGGTTGTTTGAAATTAGTTGTTTAGTTCATTAGAATCAGTAATTAATATAAAAAAGATTGCTAAAAGTATTGATTTCTTTATTCTTGTATGTATTTATAATTTGTAAACTGAATTGTATGAGTCTCCGGACTTTTTATTCAGTATGTTTTTATTTACAATAAAACCAGAATTGAATTGAATAATTGAATACTTTTCATAAATTCATGCCAAGCCCGCGCTGATGGTTTGTTGTGTTGTGTCTTGAGAAGTTGAGTGTTTGTGTGTCTCACCGTCACTGAGTTCGAGCACAAGTCTGAGCTGAATGAGAGGTACTTTGTCTTTAGGCCCATCTAGATCTAGATCTAGACTAGACTCTAGTACTGACTGTCGAATGTCTCTACACTCAACTCCTACAAATTTATACTAGACCTACGTCATGATCATGTCTAGGCCTAGAGTCTACATCAATACAGTGTTGTACTTGAATTTTGAAGCAAGTTTAAAATCTGTGCAGCAAATAGCCAATAAATCAATGTGTGTTCTTCCTAATCTACATGTAATCTTAGTCAAATTCGACCTTTCACATGGGACATCTAATGCTAATTTACGTGTAGATCTACATGTATCTAATTTCACATTTTATCAAGCATGAGTAGATTTTTAACAAAACATGACAGGAATTGGCCCCTACGTTCTTATGGAGGTTAAGTGACATCATCTTTCCTAATTACTACTGTCCTTTGGCAAGACATTGATCTACATTTGCCACTCTCCACCCAGGTGTTAAAATGGGTACCCGGTAGGATGCGAAAGCTAATGTGGTTTGATTAGCAAGTGGCGCTTGTAAAATGGCGACTGGCTGGAATGCTCCCCAGGGAGTGGAGAATGTGCATACCTTGTGTGCGGGTAAGCCTGGATCCGATGACCGGGGTAATAATATGTTCCGCGCCTAGAAACGTAGTATTAGGCGCATTATAAATGTGAGCTATTATTATTATTATTATTACCCAATAGTATGAATCAATAGCACTCATTTCTTTAATGCAATCAAAGTATCGTTAATATTTTTTTTAGAGTTTGCAAAAGCTATTCAAAATCAGATTGTCTACAATACAAAGAATGCAAAACATGTAATATCATAGGATTTATTTGATAAACAATGAATGATATTTTTTCATTTCATGTTCTAATTTTAATTCACTTTTGTCTATTTTTGTTGTGACAGAGACAGCATGGCTGAATATATTCACCATCTCCGCCAGCTTGATCGGAACAGAGAGTTGATAGGCAGACATCAGAGAGGCCTTCGTGACCCATGAACCCTTTTGAAGTGTATGATGATGAGTCATTTTGGACCAGGTACTGGTTTTCCAAAGAGACAGCGCTCTACCTCATCAACTTGGTTGATGAAGAGCTGAGGAGGACGACAGACAGAAATGACCCAATACCTATACAGGTAGTGACAGCACTACTTCGATTGCTGTTGGTGAGTAATTTACCTTATTTAGTATTTAGTAAATTTCTATTTAATCTGGGCTGTGCGAAAAAGTAAAAGGATAAAATTGCGGTTACCATGTTTTGCGGGAGGTTTTTTCATAAACCGGGAGATTCTACATGAAAGCGGGAGGAAGGGCGTGGTGGCGTGAGACTCCCTCTAAATGCAAGAGGGTTGACTGCCCTGATTTAATAAAAAATCTATTATACAATTTTAAGGACATTAAACATTTCTCAGTTTGAGAATTTGATCTGGCCATGTAACTTGTAAGAAATTGTACTAGATGATATTTCACTAAAAGGATTTTTTTTTCTTACAGGGTCATTCCAAAAGATGCATGGTGATGAGGCACAACTTTCACAATCTTCTGTATGCAGAGTCATCAAAGACGTGTCAGAAGCATTTGCAAGAAGAAGGAAACAATTCATGAAGTTCCCAACATCAAGAGAAGAAGTAGAAGCAACACAGCAGCAGTTCTACCATTACTGCAGGTTGCCAGGTTTTCTAGGTGCAATTGATAGGACTCATGTCTACATCAGGAGTCCTGGTGGAGATCAAGCCCTGTATTTTATTAATAGGAAGAACAGATACTCTATTAATGAAATGAAAATTTTCCCTTTTTTTTTGGAGATGCTCCCCATTTACTTTTAATCCAATTAATTAAATGACCGATATGGAATTGGTTCACCCTTTAGTTTCTCTGAACGAAACGTACACCCATGCAGTACTGTGGTCTGAATGAATTTGAAATCTAATGGTTGATATAGTTCCTCCAAAAAAACATTTTTTGCAAAAGGTACCAACCACTTTGAAAGGGAAATCGTCATCATCTTCATCATCATCAACATCATCACTGAAATCATTATTTGACTGCTTCATCACCATCGCCACCGACAACATTGCTGTCATAATTATCATCACTGACATAATCATCGACTTCAACAACCTTGAATACTTGTTTTGATTATCCATATTAAATCGTCAATATTTAAATATAAATTTCTCTTGTTTGATGATGTGGTTTTTCTCGTGAAATCATTAAGTTAGGAGGTAAACGTTTTACAAGTGAATGACCTACTTTGTTTATCTTGTTTAATTATTAATATACCATTTGCTGTTATCTATTACTTATAATTACCCAGTACACACCATGAATTAAAATGGATTCAGTATGTTTCGCTAAATCCAAACACCCACAGAGAGAGAGCAAAAGATAAAGAGAGAGAGATGAAGAAAGAAGGAGAAAGGGTATGTGTGGGAGAGAGAGGTGGAGAAAAAAGAGAAAGAAAAGGGGTACGAGATTTTAAAAATGGAGTTCTAACAAAATAAAAAGATATTTGAGAGAGGTGGGGTGGAGAGCTGGTGAAAAAAGAGAGACAGCAAACAAAAACAAGGAAGGTGAAAGAGTGAGAAGTAGAGACGAAATTTACAAAAAAGTTCTTTTCTTTTTGTTTAAATCACTATTCCCTTGAGAAATTCAATACAGCAGAAAAATTAAGGAAAAAAAACGAACGCTGCCCTAAGAAAAGAATTAATACATCAAATAAACAAATTTAGAAAAATTAATGCCTCCCCCCTAAAAAAAAAACAATGCCCCCTCCCCTAAGAAAAAATTAAAAACAAATTACCCCCACCCCAGTAAAGCCCCACCCCCTAAGAAAACAATTAATGTCCCCCCCCCCCCCCCCCCCCCCGAATTAGGCCTAATATTTCTTTATCACATGTCAAGACTGCCTTGTTTTTGCTGTCCTCCTATTTTATATGACCAGTAAGCCCGGGGTTTTTTTCTCAATACATCTATGCATTTTATGCATTAATGCCAGTATTTTCTATCAGATAGTATTTATCGTAACCTTTCAGCCCTTTCTTTCTACATCAACACCTTCTGGACTAAACGTCATCGATCGCTTTCGCTGCCTCTACGGAGTCTACGCTATATATAACACGAGTCTACTCTTACTTCGGATTGATTAATTGCTAAACTAATGTGTGACCTACGCTCTAAAATCCTCATAACAATCAACGAAAATGTGATCATATAGCTCTAAAATGAACACTACATCATAGAAAATTTTCACTCTGGTATAAGGGTCGTTTACAGAAGTTTTTTGTGGACTCTTCCACGAAAACTGTCGATGTTTAGTGTGTTGTTATGCCCAGCTGATCATAATTATGTCGGACGATTATAGGCCATAAATTAACAACGATAGTGAGGAATTATTGAGGTAATTTTTGCGAAATTCGGTAATATTTTGAGGACATCTGCCAGAGAACTGTTTTAGTATGTGAATAGTGGTTTAAAGTCTTATCTCAACTTAGAATCGGTCGGTTTTCAGTCTCTACTTGTAGGCGAAGAGTAATAGCTCAAATACAACAGAATCTGGACTTAGCAGACGACGGTGAACTAGGTGGAGTAACCAAGTGTACTGAGCGCGCATGCTCAGTTAAATGCTTCAATTCTGCGCATGCTCATTTTTTTTTTTCGCTCTCTTAGGCATGTTTAAACCGTGGGTTAAACGGTGGGTTAGATTTAGACCATGGGTTATTTAACCCACGCTTTGTGAATACCGAGCGAGGTTTAAACCGTGGGTTAGATTTAGCCTGGGCTAAATAACCCAGGGTTAGATTTAGCCTGGGTTAAATCTAAATCTCCTTTGTGAATTCGGGCCAAGGGGTATGGGCTTCAATGGCGGATCCAGGAATTTCTTGCCGGGGGGGGGGGGGGGGGGAGGGGGGCACAAAAATGGCATGGGGTGAAATATAATCATGTAAAACGATGAAGCGACAGAACGAGGCTTTAGCGGCGAGGAAGTGGAGCGACCAAGCGGGTGTGGGCCTGGGAGGGGGTTCTGACCCTCTCCCAGAGTAGGAAGCGTTTGCAACTTTAGAACCACATTAGGCGCATTTTCAGGCACTTCCTTGGGTAATTATGACGTAAATTGCTCTCTTCTACCCCCTCCAAGAGTAGAGATCTTTTGCAATTTGAGAACCACATTTGGCGCTTTAATGTACACCGGCACTTCCTGGAAAAAAAAACAAGGCCTTCTGATTGGTTAGAAGTTAGAAGCGGAAGCTTTGACTATTTATCAAATTATTAGAGAAAGATGACGTTTCGTTGTACCGTACTCGACTCTTAATCCCTGTCTGAATTCAGTTTCCCCCCCCCCCCCTCCCGCGCGAAGCGCAAAAGCTTTGACGTTTCATTAAATTATTAGAGAAAGAAGACGATTCGTGGTACCGTTCTCTACTTTTAATCCATGTCTGAATTAAGTTTTCCCCCTTCCGCGCGGAAGCGCGGAAACTTTGACGTTTTATTAAATTATTTTTCTTGATCCTTGTCTGAATTCTTTTCTTTTTCTTTTCTTTTTTGCTGTCGGGGGGGGGGGGGAACTACTTATGAAAAGTACAATCTCCATCTTAGCCAGAAAATGATCACTTTCGGCCCCAAAAATTGACAACATTGATAACGAAATCCTGAATTTGTCCATTTAAAAGCTACCCCCCACCCCACAATGTATGCAATTTTTTTTATTAAAGCTTAGTATCCATGGATCCTTTTAAGATAACAATCTCAATTTTGATGAAAAAAATCAATACCCCACTATAAGCCCTTAAATGGTACACGGGCAGTGTTACATGATGTTCGTGTACGTTCGTTCGCAAATCTGTGCATGCACAGCCCGAGTAGTGGGTAGCATGTTATCTCCCGGCAGTGTTTGTCGCTGTAGCTTCTGGAAAGGAATTATCTACTATAGTGTCACTGTTAGTGGCCACTAAGGCCCATTAGTGACTATAACAAAAAAAATGCTCTTCCTGGCTTTTGGGGAATTTGTCAGTTTGCAACAGAAATGGAGAAACCAGTGGGTTCATTCAAATACCATATGGATTTGTTGAACGTTTCTTGTTTAAAATTAAATTATTAACATTGGAGTCTCAAGTCACGGTGTTTCCTATTCGATCAAATGAAAGCGATGTAGAGATTCAAAGTTACGTAATCAGTATGTTTGCACCTTTCATCTATTCAGGGCCTGCTATTTGTACAGAGCAGCTTTTCGTATTCGTGGCAAATGCCGCCTTCATCCAATTAATATGTATTCGTTAACGCCAGGGTCGGCTAACCCAACCAAGGGACGGGGGGGGGGATACTTTATCCTTTGTTATATTATTCTTCATTATTACTAGTACATTGACGACAATCCTAGACTGTGTACTCGCTTCTCCTTTTGTATTTGTATATATATTTTAATATTTGCATACTTGATGATTTTTCAATCATCAATCTGTATTGGCTTCTCATTGTGTAATACTAAATTATCCATTGCGTGGTTGTGAATTTCAAAGATTAATTTAAGATTTGCTTCGATGCATTTTTTCAATACCTTCTTATTGAAGATTACCCTAAGTTGAGAATTCTGTTTACAATCGCAATTTGAAGTTGAATCTAATTGTAGAAGGAAGTTTGGAGGTGTACCCTCATAGGCAATAGATTTTTCGACTCCTCTTAAACCCCCTTCTTCCCGATAATGGGTTACACATTTAATGCGCTTGTGGGTACTTAGAACTTCGAACCACATTTTGAGTAGAAGAAAGTAATCTTTGAAGAAAGTTTTACCACGTTTAATGAACACACACAGGAAAAAGAGTACATGAGTGGTTTCATGTTCACATCTTTTGTTTCTTTCTTAGGGGTCGGCAGAACTAGCGTTTCTGCAAATGGCAAAAAGATGATTCTCTTTTGTTAAACGATGTTTTTTATTGTCTCTTATTTTGTTACTCAAAATGTGAAGGAGAACTCACGACCGACAGCAAAACTCTTGGGACAGGCTCTAATGGAAGTAATGGAGATTTACAAGGTAATTCGTCTCTCAAATTTAGTAGTTCCTTACATGAGTGCACATACCTTCATCACGAACAAAGTGGAAACACATGATGTTACGAAATACTAGACAACATATATTTTTGGCGATTTTGTTACTTTTCATTCATAGATATCAGAGAGTCTTTTTAAGGCAATTATGCTGTTTAAAGTAACTATTATAATATAAATGATATAAACAGTAACGGTGATGGGAAACGTAATAAACATCAGTGATTTATGATTGCTTCTTTGCCACCGTTTTCCAACGTCTTTGGAATTAGTGTTGTCGTTTAAATTATTGCTATTTCTTCTGTTGAAAATATTAACACTAAAAACGCAATGGCAGTTTGCTAACTATAGAACAAAGCACCCGTCATTATCTTAGATGAATAAGTAAAGAAATGAATGAATAAATAATTGATAACATAAACGTATTAGTTGTTTGTTAGGTGCAAACTGAACACATACATTTTATAAATAAATTAAAAAAACTAACCAAACTAAATTAACAAGTGCTTGTTGAAATATATTTCATAGGCAGTGGAACATCTTACACGACACCTTTCGGCCCTTCAAGTCCAGGTATATAAGCAATTTTAAAAATGATTATTGTTTTCATGAATGATATGAAAGCATATATATGCTGATAAGTAATTAACCAGGGACCGACAGCTTTAAGTCCTCTCTGAAGGACTTGGTAATAAGGATTAATGCCTTACCAACGGGCACGAGCGCATTGACTTGAAAACGAGACCCCTGATCTACAACTGAGCCATCGCACCTCCATTTATAAGACACATTAAAAGGCATGCTATCACATTAATAGAATATATATAAACAATGACACTGATTGGCAGTAGTATCCTGTTCAAACG